GCGGCCTGGTGCCAGCTCAGGAGACAGACCCCGCCGTCCTCTAAAGCTGGACCCCCTCCGCCTGGGCACTGTGGTGAGTGTGTGGGATGCTGTGGATATGGCAACTGCAGCCACCCAGGACATCGTCACCAGCAGTTCCCTTGCCGGTCCCTCATCACTCCATTCAGACAAGGGGCTCAAGGGTCCTGAGCAGATGGGCTTAGCTGATGCTGTGAATAGCCAAGCTCAGGACCCAAAGGATGTGTGTGGGAGGAGCAGCCTTCAGCAGGCTCCTGCCATAACTGCAGGCTCAGAGGCTAAGGATGATGAGAGCAGGGAGCCTGGGTCCCCTGCCCCTAGGGAGACTCAGGGGATCCTGGCTGGTGAGGCAGCCTGGTCCTGGAAGAGTGGAGCAGCTGTGGTCACCAGCAATTTCAGCCCCTGCCAAGGTGCCTTGCCAGAAGAGCTGCGCCCTGAGGCTCTCGAAGTGGACCAAGTTGCTGACCAGAGCAAGATGGAGAAACTAGGGGAGGGCCACCTTATTGGCAAAGGGAGAGAGTCTTGTCAAGGCGAGGAAAGTGAGCAGATAGCCATACTTATCACAGATGTGACGAAGTCTTCTGGTGGCTTCAGCTGCATCCCCTCCCACAATCTTTCAGCCTCTCCTCTGACCCAGGACACTGAGCTGGTTCCATCCTCTGCCATGGCAGTACATTCCAGCCCTGGGTTTCTACATGCAGTCTCTACCCTTGCTCCTTTAAACAATTTGCCCCTGGAAGTTAGCCAGGGTCCTTCCGGTGGTGAAAATCTCAAAGCAGAGCCAGCTTCCATTCCATCCCAAACTTTAGCTTCAGCAGAAGCCTCAGCTTCAGCTCCGGAAGCAATCCTAGCCCCATTCTCAATATCACCCCCAACCTCAACCTCAGCCCCATCCTTAACCCCAGCCCCGGTTACAACCTTAACCCCAGTTTCAACACCAACTCCATCCCCAACATCACCCCCAACTCCAGCCTCTGCCCTAGTTGTAGCCCAGGCTCCTGCAGTAGATAGTGGGCCTAGGCCTATGTCTAGGGAGTCTAGTGTGGGTCTCTCCAAGAGCTCCCTGGAAGGACGAATCTCAACTAGCTGGGGAAACCTTATTACTATGGTTCTTAGAAGCCACCCCTTCCCTAGGCAAGAAAAGGCCGATGGTAGTGCCCCAAGGGCATATCCTCAGAGTCCTGCTGGGTCCAGCACATCCACCTACTTGGAAGATAGACAGCCAGGTCCTCCCTCTGAAGGGGCCATCTCCAGCCTCCAGGACAAACATGGACCATTGTCAGTCTCAGTCACAACAGTGGGTTCAGGGAGCCTAGCTGAGGGCAGATGTGAAACACAGCCAATGAACATGGAGATGAATGTGTCTTCTGCTCCAGACCATAAAGGAGATGAAACCAAGGAGAAAAGTTTAGACCCTCTGCCCCCAGCTGCAAAGCCTGAGGCTGTCTCACAGTTTCCTGTGCCAGCACAGCCTGGTCCTGTCCCATCTACTGTGAAGCAGGATGCTCAGCCCATCCCTCAGCCTCGGCAACGGAGGAAGCGTAGCATAGCTCAGAGCTCTGAACAGATACTTTCTCAGGAAGTATCCCAGCAGCCCCAGGGGCAGGTGCTAAAGGATGGATCCAGACCTGCAAGCCGCAGGGACATCCTCACAGAGAAGCAGAAAGAGACACGAAAGCTTATGGTTTTTCTGCAGAAGCCTGGTAGTTGGGGAGTGGTGGAGGGGCCTCAGAAGTCCTGCTCACGGGTCTCGCCACCTACCACAGCAACAGCGCTGTGGCCCCCAAAGCTAGACCTCGGCAGCTGCTTGGAAGTTTTGGCCTTTGCTCAGAAGCATGGAGAGTTGGGCTTAGCCCAGGACACCTATGTCCTGATGAGCAACAACTTGCTGCACGTTCTGGGAGACCCACAGCTCTACCGACAGCTGAGTGGAGCCGACAGGGAGCGGATCCTGAACCTGCGGACCTGCCAGGGTCAGACAGTGCTAGGGGTCCTTGAGCTGCCCGGTCTTTACCAGATGAGCCGCTCAGGGCTCACAAGGGGCCCTCATAGTGAGGAGACTCCTGCCACCAGGCCTGAGCATTTGTATCTTCACACATACCTCCATGTGTTCAACCCACAAGAGAATGTGTGGCGGCCCCTGACTCAAGTTCCAGAGGAGGTCCCACTCCGGGGATGCGGTCTCTGCACCATGCATAACTATCTGTTTCTGGCAGGTGGCATCAGAGGTTCTGGTGCCAAGGCTGTCTGCTCTAACAAGGTGTTCTGCTACAACCCTCTGACCAACATTTGGAGCCAGATTCGGCCCATGCAGCAAGCCCGGGCCCAGCTCAAGTTGGTGGCTCTCGATGGGATGCTATATGCCATTGGTGGTGAGTGCCTATACAGTATGGAGCGCTATGACCCACGCACAGATACCTGGACCTTGAGAGCATCCCTCCCCGAGGGAACCTTCCCTGTGGCCCATGAGGCTGTGGTCTGTCGAGGAGATATCTATGTCACAGGGGGTCATCTCTTTTACCGCCTGCTCAGATACAGCCCAGTGAAAGACTCATGGGATGAGTGCCCCTATAGTGCCAGCCACCGACGCTCCAGTGATATGGTGGCGCTAGGGGGCTTCCTATACCGCTTTGACTTGTTGCGGGGTGTAGGTGCTGCTGTCATGCGCTACAACACAGTGACGGGCTCCTGGAGCCGTGCTGCGTCCCTGCCACTGCCTGACCCTGCCCCACTCCACTGCACAGTATTGGGGAACACCATTTACTGTCTCAACCACCAGGTCACAGCTACCTTCACGGTTTCAGAGGGGACTGCCCAGTTCCAAGCCAAGGAACTGCAGCCCTTCCCCCAGGGAAATAAGGGGGTCCTCTATCCATTCACTCTGACTTTGCCACCCAAGACTTGGTTACAGACCACACTCTGAGTGCTGGAGGAAAAAACTAACAACCCAGAACTGTGTGACTGCTCTCCAAAGAAAGCCTTTTTCCTGGGTGGTTTGAGTGGACCTGGGGCATGGGGAGAAGCCTAGGAGCAGAACTTTCTATTCTTGTGCCCTAAGCTCCCCCTTGTCAAGTTAAGCATTGTTCATTATCTCTGAAATGCAATCCCTTTTACTCCCCTCCCCCTTGAAGCCCTGGCTCCCTTAGTCCCTCTGGGCTCCCCCTGTACCTTGCTGGTTTTGGCAACAGGTCCTACTTGCTTAGGATGTCTTGGCTTCATCACAACCCTAACTGTGGGAGCCTTTGGTACTTTCTGGAAACCTCTTTGAGCTTCCTATGTTCCCCCAAGATGGAAAATGAAGTAAAGAGTTCTGCAGAAAACGTCCTCATTCTGGGATTTTTGCTATTCTGAGGCCCTTTAGGAATCTGGGTCTGACTGGTGGTTGTGCACACCTTTAGCCCCAGCACTCGGGAGGCAGAGGCAGGCGGATCTCTGTGAGTTTGAGGCCAGCCTGGTCTACAGAGCAAGTTCCAGGACAGTCAAAGCTACACACTACACAGAGAAACCCTGTCTCAAAAAACAACAAAAGAGTCTGGGCATGAATAGCACTTGAGTATCTTATCCCTCGATTGGATAATCACTCTGCTGTCCACAGTCCCAGCCAATTAGGTCAGGACCATTGGTACCTTTTGAGCCTCTCTCAAACTCTCTGAACCCCCATGACACTTCTTTCAAGTTCTCCTCTAGATGAGCCCTGTGTTTTACTCTAGTTATACCTGTTGTCACCTGTGTGAATCAGGAGAAGCATTTAGTATTTCTCTGGACACCTGACATTCAGGAGATCCATGGGGACAGGATCCCCAGTGGTCATCTGGCCTGGTGCCTGAGCAAACCACATTGGAAATTACATGCTTCCTTCCCTCACCCACTGAAGCCCACTGTAGACAGGGAGATAAATCTGAGTACTCCTGCTTGTCCTGGCCTGCAACCTGGTTTGTCCCAACTGGGCCATTTTATGCATTAAAAAAAAAAGAAAGAAAGAAACTTAGAGGCTGGAGAGATGACTCATGGTTAAGAGCACTGGTTACTCTTCCAAAGGGCCCAGCTTTGAGTCCTAGAATCCACTGTGGCTCACAACTGTCTGTAACCCCATTCCTGGGGATCTGACACCCTCTTCTGGTCTTTGCGGGCACTGAATACGCATGGTGTATAAACCTACATTCAGTCAAAACACCCATACACATAAAATAATAAAATACTTAAAAAGAAACTATTTTTATTGAGAGGGAAATGCATGTGCCATGGCGCATGTGAAGAGATAAGAGGACAACTTTGTGGACTTGATTTTCTCCTTATCCCTTTATGTGGTCCTAGGGTCTGGACTTGGTCTTGAGTGGCAAGTGCCTGTGTCTGCAATCTCACCCCTTCTTTTTGTTCTACACTTAGTAAACACCAGTTTACTACTGATACCAGTAGGTGTTTGGCCCACTGAAAGCATCTTCCTCACACACTTGTCATTCTTTGCTCACGAAGTCTGATGTGAAGTTGTATCAATCATTGTGCAAGTCAGAAAGGGGTCCTTGGGTTTGCTTGAAAATAAGTTTATTGAGAAACAAGTATCATGCACACAGCTACACACCTGGGCCTTTGGACCCATGCCCCTGGCTTCTGCACTTAGGTTGGTGACAGATGGTGGCTTACTGCTTGCGTTTAGTCTCGGTGAGTAGCTCTTGCCAGTTCTTCTCCATCTCCTCTTTGCAGTTAAGGAAGGCATCCTCCAGCCGGCGCATGGACTCTGCTAGTGTGGGGTTGGTACGCATGACCACCATATCGTAGGCCATCCAGGTTGCCTGCACTAGAACAAACAAACAGGACCAGTCAGCTGACAGGTGCTGAAGCTATGGGGGGCCACTGTGCTCAGCTTTAGGGGCCAGACCCTGGGGAACACTGAGTAGCCCAAGAAGAGAAAGCTTATAGGGTGTTATAAACCCAAAAGTCTTAACTTCTCAGTTCTTAAGCTTATGACAGTAACGAGCTGGAGGCTGGTCTGATATGGAATGGAAAGATAATGAGAGCAAATATGGACCCTTACCTATATGGAGTTCACAGCTAGTGGTTTGCATGATGACTTTTTTTTTAAAGATTTTATTTATTTATTTATTTATTTATTTATTTATTTATTATGAATAAAACATTCTGCTTCTATATATCTCTGCACACCAGAAGAGGGCACCAGATCTCATTACAGATGGTTGTGAGCCACCATGTGGTTGCTGGGAATTGAACTCAGGACCTCTGGAAGAACAGTCAATGCTCTTAACCTCTGAGGCATCTCTCCAGCCCCGCATGATGACTCTTAAGAAATCGTAATTTGTACCCAAGCTTACATGGTCAAGGTAATTCAACCATTTCTAGCCACACAAGACCCAGGTGATGTGTTTTCTCATGCTCAGTGACCCAGGACATCTACCTACCTGTCCTCAAAACCAGTAAGGCACAGGCAGGCCTTCTGGAAAGGTTAGGCTGTCTCACTGTTAGGCATCCTTGAACATCACCATCGCACAGACAAGCATCTCTGCTCTTCCTCAGAACAACTGGAGGACAGCTGGGCCTCCTAAGTGAGCACATGCTTCTTGTGCAGACTCAGTGGAAATGTGTGCAGAACCCATTCTGCAGCATCCACTGCTGGTGCAGCTCTTCCCTATAGAACTGTACGGAACGTGGTCTGCCCCTCTGCATGACAACTGAGCACAGCAGACATGTTCCCTTAAAATTCCTCTATTAGTGTGAAAAGTATTGTGTACTTTGGGAAATTATGTCTTCAAAGAAATTAACCAATGAGATTATAGAAAAAATGATTAGTGCTAGATGTGCATGTGTACATATATGAAAGCAATATCACTTCATCACAGACTCAAAATAGTGGAGAGAAGCATATATTTAGGTATGGCAAAATTACAGTGTCTTAACAGAATTCATATGACTCTATTACTAGCATAGGGAGTCTTTAATTTTTGAATTAGGAGTGGCACTTGGGACACTTCTTATGGTGTATATCATTGGCCCATTCCACACAGTTTTGTCCAGCATGCTGGGGATCATTCTAGCACAAAGGGTCTGCAGACCACCCTTCCCAAACCCCTGGCAGCAGGTGGCATATGATCTGGAAGCCAGAGCAGAGTCTGCTTCCCATCTCTTTGCCTGCCAGCTATGTGACCTTAAACAAGGGAGCAAATTTGCTAATCCAGTCTCCTCATTCACAAAATAGAGACTACCTAATAGCTTCAGGTGAGAACCAAACAGATACTATAGGAACAACTTACCACATGTTATGGACTGAATGTATGCATACCTCTACATTTATGCACTGAAATATGGTCCCCAGTTAATGGTTTTAGGTGATGGGCCTCTGGGAGATATGCAGTAATAAAGGTAGAGCCCTCATGACTTGTGGGGTTGGTGTCTTTATAAAAGAGACACAGACTTGCAATTGGCCATGTGAGGACACAATGAGAAGGTTGATGACTGTAAAACATGGAAGGGACTTCTCACCAGAAAATTCACTGGCACCTTGATCCTGGAGTTTTCAGACTGGGGACCAAGCATGAGAAATAAATGTTTATTTTTAAAACTACTTTGTTTGTGGCCATTTGTACAGGACCCCCTGATGAGTAGTCAGAAATTGGTAGCAACAAGGAGAGTGTTGCTATAACAACATTTGAAAGTATGGGAGCAGCTTTGGTGATGGGTAGAGTTCTGAAACATAATAGAAGTACATGACACTATATTGCCATGAATGGAGTTTTAAAGTAGTTCTGGTGGTGCACACCTTTAATCCAAGCATGCGGGAGGCAGAGGCAGGTGGATCTCTGAAAGTTCGAGGCCAGCCTGGTCTACAGTGCAAGTTTCAGGACAGGCTCCAAAGCTACAGAGAAACTCTGTCTCAAAAAACTGAAGAAAAAAAAAAAAGAAAGAAAAGAAAAGAAATTCTGGTTCAAGAAGAAAAAAGGAATTTGGAGTGAAACCTCTGTCTTCATAGAGAATATATGTAACTGGACAGGATGTTAAAGCCATTCTGATGACAGTTCAGATGGAAATGAGTAAGTTATTGGGAACTAGAAGAAAGGTGACCCTTGTCATAACCGTCAAAGGACTTGGCTGGATTGTGTCCATACTCAATATTTGGTGTAATATAGAATTGTGAGCATTGAAACTGGATACCCAGTTGAGGAGAACTGCTTAAAATTAGAAACTTTTACTATAAAATAAACAATTTAGGTATTCAGGGCAAAGACTTAAGATAGGAAATAAAATAATAACAGGGGATAAAAGTAGCTCAAAAAGAATAAATCTCATGTAGTACCCCACAGCACCTAGAATCCTAACTCCTCTGGCTTCCTAGGCCAAAGTAGAGAAAGAAAAAAACTTATTTTCTAAGGCCAATGCCCATAAAAGAGAGACAACATGCTCTTGAACACACCTCAGTTCTGGAGCTGAGGAATCTTAGTCACCTCTGTCTATCTTAGTGACCTCCATTGCTGTGAGGAGACACCGTGACCAAGGCAAAACACCCATACACATTAAATAAATACATTTACAATAAAGTTAAGAAAATGTATTCTGCTGTTGTAGAATATTATTTAAAGATGTGTTACATTTGCTTATGCTGTGGAACATTTGTTTAATAACACAAAGATATGTTGAATTCTTATATGTTGCATTTATTTAACTCTTTGAAGCTGTGTTACAGTACCTGTTTAAAACAGCTGATGGTCGGGGCTGGAGAGATGGCTCAGCAGTTAAGAGCACTGACTATTCTTCCAGAGGTCCTGAGTTCAATTCCCAGCAACCACATGGTGGCTCACAACTACCTTGAATGAGATCTGGTGCCCTCTGCTGGCATGCAGGCAGAAGACATAATAAATAAAATCTTTTAAAAAAACAAAATCAAAAAAACAACAAAATAAACAAAAACAAAAAAACACCTGATGGTCTAATGAAGAGCTGAATGGCCAATAGTGAGTCAGGAGAAAAGATAGGCGGGGCTGGCAGGCAGAGAGAATAAATAGGAGAAATCTGGGAAGAGAGGATTGAGGAGCAGGACGTCAGTGGCCAGTCACCCAGCCAGGCATGGAAGAAGAAGTAAAGAAAGATATACAGAAATAGAGGAAGATAAAATCCCAGAGGCAAAAGATAGATGGGATAATTTAAGAAAAGCTGGCTAGAAATAAGCCAAGGTAAGGCTGGCATTCATAAGAAAGAATAAGCCTCTGAGTGTGATTTATTTAGGACCTAGCTGGTGGGTCCCCAAAGAGTAAGAGCTAAAGAGAGAAAAAAAATAAACAAACAACATTCTACAGTTGCAAATAACTTTGATGACAGCTGTATTTTAAATACAAGGTGGCCCCTTCATGTCTGTAGTTAGAATCACAGGCAAAGGTTAGCTGGCAGTGTGTCTCAAAGCACTGTTAGGAAGAACAAAACAATCAGACAAGACATTCTACTATCTGCATAGCCCTCTTGTCTTCTGATCCAAGGGATTTTTTTTTTTTTTTGGTTGTTCTTGTTTTTCGAGACAGGGTTTCTCGGTGTAGCTTTGGAGCCTATCCTGGCACTCGCTCTGGAGACCAGGCTGGTCTTGAACTCACAGAGATCCGCCTGCCTCTGCCTCCCAAGTGCTGGGATTAAAGGTATGTGCCACCAACGCCTGGCCCAAGGGAAATATTTTAGAATATATAGAACAGAAAGAACTAATCAGAAGATTCTCCAGAAACATTCTGTGCTGTCATTTGCAGAGGCAGCTCTGGCACTTTGTACAGGGTATGAAGTGGAAACACCTGTGTTCCTGAAGAGTCTATAAGTGGCAGTGGGAGAAGACAGATAATCATCATACAAGGCATTAGAGATTGTGAAACATGCTGAGAAGGAAGTAAACAGTATACGCTGTAACAGAAATGGCAGACAAAGTTAAGACCAGCTCTATGGAGAGGCCTCATAGAGAAGTCTCCTGCCAAGACTGTAGCTCAGGGGAAGACTACTTACCTAGTGTTCCCAAGGTTCTAGTACCACCACCATCAAAAGAAAGGAAGAAAAGGCAGAAAAGAAAGGGGAAACAAAATCCCTTGTCAACAACTACATGAGTCTGGAAATGGATTTCCCAGTATCCAGTTAAGAGTTCAGAGGCTGAAGCCATGGTTGATATTGTGACTGGGATCTTAGGAGAACTGGCCAGCTTTGCTGAGTTCAGATTTATTACCCCTAAAGTTGGTGTCCAGCCTCTTGGATTGGTTATGCAGCAATAGATAGCAGAAACTGATTTGGGTGTCGAGAATATGATGCTTTCACAGCAAAACCCTAAAGGACGGTTATTAGGGAAGCTGTTATGATTTTGAAGAGAGAATGAGCAAAAGTTTACAGTTCTTTAAGTGCACTGGTCCCAGTGACTGGTCCCAGTGACAATAAAAACTTAGAGAGGTGAGGACAGTCTTACTGAAAACTGAAGGAGTGGGAAGCTTTGTTAGGTAGAGGCAGATGATTAGGTAACATCAGCACAAGAAATAATTTAGGAGGCAAAAATGTACCCAATGAGCTGTTTATTAGGATTTAGTTCCGTTCTTTTCTTTTTTATTTTTCAGGGGGTGAAAAGAAGTAGAGTTAATGCTGGGGAATAAACCCAGGGCATTGAGCACATGGTAATCACATTCTACCACCAAGCTGCCTCATCCATAAATGGGGATAATAATGATAAATATCCCCCCTAAAGTTGTTAAAAGAAGTAAATGAGATATTGTATATAAAGCATATGGAAAAGATATCAATGTGGTATATAATAAACATAAACTGTTATCACTACCAATAAGGATACTAAACAGCCAGACCTGTGCTACCTTCCTGTGGTCTACTATTAGTTAGTAAATAAAGTGGAAAAATATCCATTTCTTCTTCCTTTTTATTTATCTATTTATTTTTATTTTACTTTTAATTTTTTGCCTGCATGTATGTCTGTGAGGGTGTCAGACCCCTGGAAGTGGAGGTACAGGGAGTTGTGAGCTGCCATTTGGGTGCTAGAAATTGAGCCCATGTCCTCTTAAAGAGCAGTCAGTGCTCTTAACCACCAAGCCATCTCTCCAGCCTCAAAATATCCATTTCTCACAGGATATTTCTTTTTTTTTAAAGATTTTATTTATTTATCATGTATACAGTGTCCTGTCCACATGGATCCCTGCAGGCCAGAAGAGAGCAGCAGCTCTCATTTCAGATGGTTGTAAGCTATCATGTGGTTGCTGGGATTTGAACTCAGGACCTCTGGAAGACCAGCTAGTGTTCTTAACCACTGAGCCATTTCTCCAGCCCCTCTCACAGGATATTTCTAACAAAACCCCAGAAGCACATTGATAGAAGCCAGGTGTAGTGGTGCATGTCTTTGATCCCAGAACTTGGGAGACAGAGGCAGGCAGATCTCTGTGTGTTCAAGGTCAGCCTGGTCTACACAGTGAATCCCAAAACAACCAAAGCTATGTAGAGAGATCTTGTCTCAAACAAACGAATGAATAAACAAACAAAAAAGAAAAAGGGAAAACACAAAAATCTAGAAAATACTGCAAAGCTGAGACCTTAATGAAACCTGCATACCCTGAAATGTCACCTCTTTAGAATGAGAATACTTCCTGTTAAAATAATACCACTTTTCCAACCAGGTGTGGTGGTTCATGCAGGTAATCCCAGTACTTGGGAGGCTAAGGCAGTAGGATTACTAGGAATTAAGAGTCCAGTTTGGGCTACACAGCAAACTCCAGGCCAACCCGAGCTAAAGAGTGAGACTTCTTAAACAAACCCAAACAAACAAAACATCATTGTCCCATACTAATGTATGGGTTTGAAGGAGCTTGGGACATAGCATTTACTTCACGTATGAAGCTGGGCTCAACCCCCAGCCCTGGAAAACAAAGATCTAACAAATACCATAATATTCAGGTTCAACACAAATCCAGAGTATTAAGTACATGAATCTGCTACTCCCCTGGAAGAGCAAACACACGAGGAAAGCCTAGAGCCCTAAAATACAAAAAAGGTCTCCTCAGGGAGAACTTCCTGAATGGCAATGATGGTGATGATAATAACATCAACAACAGCTGTGTGACACTGTACTTTGTAAAACCTGACCTGGTCTACAGAACGAGTTCCAGGACAGGCTCCAAAACTACACAGAGAAACCCTGTCTTGAAAAACCAAAAAGATAAAAGAAAACCAGTCAATCAAACAAACAAACAAAAAGCCCCAATCCAAAAAACCTGACATATATAACAGAGTAGCTAAGCTATGTTATAAGCTATAAAAGCTTCATGTGGCCTGGTGTGGTGACAAATGCCTTTAATACCAGCACTTGGGAAGCAGAGGTGTGAACATCTCCATCTACAGTGTGAATTGGAGGCCGGCTTAACCTACAGTTAGTTCCAGGCTAGCCTAGGCTATAGTGAGGCCTTCTCTATTCAAGGGGGGCTGAGGCCTGGGGAGATGGTTCAGGAAAAGTGCTTCCTGTGTAAATAAATACAAGGAACCAGTTTTGATCCTCAATAGTCAAGTAAAAAGTTGGGCATGGAGGAGCATGCCTGTAATCCTAGCTCGGGGTGTGGAGGCAGGAGGATCCCTAGGGCTTGATGGTCAGCTAGTCAAGCTGAATCAACACACTTCAGGTTTAAAGAGAGTCTGTATCAAAAAGTAAGCTGTATAGTGATCCAGGAGGACACATGTCATTGATCTCTGTGTATATATATATATATATATTCTCCATGTAGCCCAGGCTGTCTTGGACCTCACTTTGTAGACCAGGCTGGCCTAGAACTCAGAAATCTGCCTGCCTCTAGAATATATATTTTGAATTAAGAACATATGAAATTATAATGTTGCTTCTACTACTTCATGGAAGCATGTTGAGTAAAATAACGATATAATATTCCTTCCCAAGAATGAATAAATATATGCATCCTGTTGCTTCTTTATTCCATGATGCTGTGCCTTCCATTTTCAGTAGTACACTAATCTTACGATCATTCCAAACCTTTCTGCTTCAATAATTCACAGAAAGACTGTTCAACTTATGATCACTAGTGTAATGATGACCCGAGGTTGCCATTTGATGCACATGTAAGGATAGAATTCTAGGCATGTAACTGTCACAGTACCTCAACATAGCAGTCCAATGGTAGAAGGTAATCACATGGAAGATAACCAAATAATTCAGAGACAATCATTGTAACTCAAATTTTGTGTTGCAATAGAAGAATGCTAGGGAAGTCCTTGTTAGGGAAAGCACTTGATATAGGTTTGTACACTTAGGCAACAATGAAGCCATTGGAAAGAAGGAGAAAGCATCCTGTTTGGGAAGACATCCTACCTGAGATTTTTTCCATCTCTTCCAATAGCTTTTCCAGGTCCTTATTCAGGTCGGAAAGCATTTTCAGCATGTTATCATAGTTTCTTTCCCCAGGATCAGAGTCAGCCATCTAGGCAGTGAACAAAAACAAGCTGCATGGGACATACTGGCATTTTAATTCTCACCCTACAACTCACAGATGAGCAATCCTTGAACAACTGTTGCCCTATCTGTCAAAAGAGTTGGATACCACCACGTATGCTCCAGAGGTACTGTGAGGCTGGATGAAATGTGTGGGAAGGGGCTACATAGATTACAACACATGTTGATTGTTCTTTTCTTTCTTTGATCCTTGTTACATGTCATAGTTAGCTTCAGCTATCAATTTGACACACCTGGGAAGATGGAATCTTAACTGAGGAATTGCCTCCACTGGATCGTTCTGTGGTCATACCTGTGGGAAATTTTCTTTCTTTTTTAAGATTGATTGATTTTAATTTAATATTATTTTAAAGTCTCTCTTTTTATTTTTTATGTGTATGGTTGTTTTGCCGCCTGTACATCTGAGCACCTTGTATATGCAGCACCTGAGAAGGCCAGAAGAGGGCATCAGATCCTCTAGAACTGGAGTTAGTCAGTTAGAAGCTGCTTTGTCCGTCCTGGGAATTGAATCTAAGTGCTCCCTAACCACTGAACCATCTTGCTGGTCCTAAAGATTTATTTTTATTATTTCTAAATTGTGTGTGTGTGTGCATGTGCACATGCATGTGCGTGTGTTGGGGGTTGTCTGTCCGTGTAGGGGTATGTGCATATGATTGCAGGTATACATGGTGTCCAGAAGAAGGCACTGAGTACCCTATAACTAACATTATAAATAGTTGTTAGCCACCATGTGACTGGTGAGAACTGAACCCAAGTCCTGTGCAAGGACATCAAGTTCTCTTAACTGCTGAGCCATCTCTCCAACTCCCATTGTGGGCATTCTGCAATTGCTAATTTATATAGGAGGATCTAGTCCACTGTGGATGGTGACATCCCTGTTGTGAAATAATCCTTTTGTACACAAATATCCCAAAAGAAAGAGACTTCAGTTTATGAAAGAAACTAATTGGATCCTTTCTCATATTGTACAAGGAACACCAATTTTTGGAGCCCCTACATTCTATACTAATGCAAATAAATCTGGAAAGGTTATAAGTCAGGAGAAATAAAGTAGCTCAAAGCCCTTATGATTCTGTTCAAAAGCCAGAATTGTATGATATTCTCATAGAATTATTAGATTTTCCAAACCCTCTTAATATAGTTACTGACTCTCTCTTTTTTTTTTTTTCAGGGTTTCTCTGTGGCTTTGGATGCTGTCTTGGAACTAGCTCTTGTAGACCAGGCTGGTCTTGAACTCACAGAGATCTGCCTGCCTCTGCCTCCTGAGTGCTGGGATTAAAGGTGTGTGCCACCGTTGCTGGGCCTGACTCTCAATATGTAGAAAGTTTTACATATTGAAGCCACTGGACTTTATTCCGGATGATTCAGGATTAACTTTGTTATTTATTCAATTAAAAGAAATAATCAGAAATAGAAGTCATCCCTTCTATATAACATATAACAGATCCCATATGGGCATACCAGGCCCTCTAGTACAAGGTAATGATGAAATTAATCATCTATTGGTATGAAATGTACTTGAAGCCTCAGAATTTCATAAGAAATACCATGTTATAGCAAAGGTTTGAAGAAAGAGTTTTCTATGATAACAAGTCAAGAAAATTAGAAGGAAATGTCTCACTTTTTCTTTGTATAATCAAATTCCATTACCTGCAGGAGGTAACCCAAGAGGTACTCAAAGAAATGAGAGTTGGCAAAAGGATGTGTTTCATTTTGCAGAGTTTGGAAAATTAAAGTATGTACACCATAAATACACATTCAGGATTTCAATGGGCAACTGCTTTGAGTTCTAAAAAGGCTGATTCTCTAATTAAACATTTATTACAAGTCATGGCCATTATGGAAATACCCATACAAAATAAGACCAACAGTGTTCCAGCATACATCTTTAGTAAAATAAAACAATTTTTTCATATTACAGCATAAAGCATATTACAGGTATACCACACAGCCCTACCAGACAAACAATTATAGAAAGATCTAATTACACTTTAAAAGATATGCTTAATAAACAGGAAGGGGTAATAAAGACCCCCCAGAGACAGATTACACAGTGCTTTATTAACTTTAATTTTTTTAATGCTAATGAGAAAAGAACACCACCTTCGGAGAGACATTGGATAGCAGAAAAAACTGCTGAATTAAATCAGCCTGTATACTTTAGAGATATGTTGACCTCAGAATGGAAACCAGGATATGTGTTATGTTGGGGAAGAGGTTTTGCTTTTGTTTCCACAGAAGAAAAGCTATGGATACAAGATTGATGAAGATTAGATTCAAATGGGAGAGACCTCTTGATTAGGAGAGGTGATAGTTCATCAAACATCATGGCCATTCAACACAAACTAACTTTTATAAGACCAACAAATGCCTTTCATTTGATCAGATATAACCTGCCAAAAAAGGGAACTCCCCAAAGTTGGGGTTGAGGCAGGGTTTTGTTTTGTCTTTACAGGAGAAAAAGAGCATCCATCTAAGGAATCTGAAGACCTAAAACCTTTCCTTTTTATTTAGACAACAGGAGGGGGAAATATTGTGAGATATTTGTTTGCATTGAAACTCCAAGACTGAAAATAAAGTTTAACCTTGAGGGCTGGAGAGATGGCTCAGAGGTTAAGAGCACCTGCTGCTCTTCCAGAGGTCCTGAGTTCAATTCCCAGCAACTACATGGTGGCTCACAACCATCCGTCATGAGAACTGCTGCCCGCTTCTAATGTGCAGATACACATGGAAGCAGAATGTTGTATACATAATAAAATCTTCAAAAAAGAGTTTAACCTTGAATCAGGGGGTAGAGTTAGTGACTGGCTGACTATAGAATAAGCCATAGAGGTTTTAGAGGGCCCAAGATACATATAGAGAGACACAGGAAGTAGTAGGAAGGGCCTGAGAAAGATTCAAGGGGCCTTTGGATCAGGGAAGGAGAGAGAGAATAGCTCACTAGTCACTTCACTGCTTCTCTCATCATTCATACTTTTACCTTGATTTATGACTCCCAACTTTTATTTAATAATAGAGCAATATAAGATCAAATGGTCCTACCCACAATAAGGTCTTCCAACCACAGTTAATGAGATCAAGAAAATCCCTCACAGACCAACCTGATCTAGACAAATCCCTTATTGAGACTATGTTCCCATGTTGATTCTAGCTTGTGTAAAGTTGAAAATTCAAAATGACCATCACACTCTCTTCCTTGTCAACTCAATATACAAACATAATTCTGACCTTCTGCCCCTTGTCCCCAAAGATTCATATTTATTTCATAACTTTAAAAGTCCCCATAGCCTTTTAAATAAAATGAGCCCCTATAAAATAAAAAAACATGTACTTCCAACAAAATACTGACACAAAATACTTCCAAAAGGGAAGAGTAGAGTTATGAAACAATCCTCCAAAACAGAAGCAAAGTCTAGCATGGAAAAATGCCAAATTGTGTAGCTCCATGTCCAGCATCTGGATTCATGATGCAATCTGATAGGCTCCAAAAGGCTTTGGCAGCCCTGTTCACTCCAGCTGTTACTTGCAGCATACTCAGCTTTTCTTTTAGGCTTAGGCTGGCTCTACTCTATAAATGTGGTTCTCCGTGGGAGATACTCCACTGTCCTGGCATCTCCAATATCCCAGATTCCCCAATGCAGCTGAGGCTTCACCTTCACAGCTTCATTCAGTGGCCTTTCAGGGCCCATCAACAGGGTCTCTGATCCTGTCAGATGGTATCTGGCTTCAACTATTCTTCATAATCACTGGAATATTGCACATATCATGCTTTCAAAACAAGTGCCACATGGAACAATGTTTACAATACTGCCCAATTCTGCTGTTAGCTTATGGTGTTTTCTGGCCTCCTTGGACCACAGCTGTGTCAACTTCTGTGTGTTGATCCTGAGGAACATTTCCTATTGTCCCATTGTAGAGCAGGAAGCTTCTCCACAATGGTATTGATCTCTCTCCATTACAGCTGCTTCTTTAGCACCAGCCTGAATACCATCTTGCTTTGAAATTCCCTCTACTGAATAAACCTGTCAGTTACCTTCAAATTCAACTTTACTTGGGATCTCAAGACATGAGCAGAATGAATATCCGCATGGATGGTCATTATCCTAGTTTCTAATAGAGTTCTTGTTCCCCTCTGAAACCTCTGAGCTGGGCCTCTACTGTCTTCTTTTTTTCCAAGCACAATATGGTCCTTTAAGCTCTGCTTACATCATTCAGTAGCTTTTTTAGTCTAAAGAAACAAATGGCTCCACTTTCTTTGCACAAAAAGCAATTCCAGGACAGGTGAAACGGCTTTGCCAGTAAGGGCACTTTTCCTGCCAAGGCTGACAACCTGAGTTTAGTTCCTGGAAATCCACACTGTAAAAGGAGAGAAGTGACTCTCAAAAGTGTTCTCTGTTCTCCACATGCACTCTCTCTTTCTGTCTCTGTCTCTGTCTCTCTGTCTCTCTGTCTCTCTGTCTCTCTCTCTCTCTCTCTCGCGCGCTCTCTGTCTCTCTCTCTCTCTCTCTCGCGCGCTCTCTGTCTCTCTCTCTCTCTCTCTCGCGCGCTCTCTGTCTCTCTCTCTCACACACACACACACACACAGAGAGAGAGAGAGAGAGAGAGAGAGAGAGAGAGAGAGACTGTGTTAAAAGGAAAAAATAACTCTAAAAGGCTTAAAAGCTACATGGCCAGGTTTATCACAGCGACAACACCACTCTCTATACTAATTTCTGTACTAGTTTTGCTTCCCATTACTATGATAAAATACCCTGACAGAAGCCACTTGAAGGGAAAGTGGTTTATTCAGCTTGCACTTCCAGGTTACAATCTAACATTGTGAGAAAGTCAAGGCAGGAACTCCAAGCACTGAGTCACATTCACAGTAGAGTAGAGAAAAAGAATGAATGCATGTATGCTGACTAGTGCTCAGTTGACTTTCTCTATTCCTATAGAGGAGAGGACCCAAAGGAATGGTGCCACCCACAA